ATATGCATGAAAATATATGCAAACTCTATAGTCAAGGCGCGCGCTTGCGCGCGTAAATTTGAATTCTAGTCCACTTTTATAATTTAGATGAAAAATATGAAAATATATACATTGATGAAGACATTTTATTCGTAATGTGATTGGTCAAATATATCATAAGCATGAAAATATATGCAAATTCCATAGTCAAGCGCGCGCTTGCGCGCGTTCCTAATATAAAATTGAGATGAAATGTATGTGAAGCCAATCTATTCGTGATGTGATTGGTTGAAAATATTTATTCTCATTCTGATTGGTTAAAAGTGCATATAATATACATAAACGACACATAAATATACCATGATAATAAATATGAGGCGCGCGCTTGCGCGCGTAAATTTGAATTCTAGTCCACTTTTATAATTTAGATGAAAAATATGAAAATATATACATTGATGAAGACATTTTATTCGTAATGTGATTGGTCAAATATATCATAAGCATGAAAATATATGCAAATTCCATAGTCAAGCGCGCGCTTGCGCGCGTTCCTAATATAAAATTGAGATGAAATGTATGTGGCATCAAACTATTCGTAACGTGATTGGTCAAATATATCATAAGCATGAAAATATATGCAAATTCCATAGTCAAGCGCGCGCTTGCGCGCGTTCCTAATATAAAATTGAGATGAAATATATGTGGCATCCAACTATTCGTAACGTGATTGGTCGAATATATCATAAGCATGAAAATATATGCAAACTCTATAGTCAGACGCGCGCTTGCTCGCGTAAATTTGAATTCTAGTAGAAGAGAAATAGGAAGTGGGGTATTGAAGCAGAAGCCTAATATAATAGGCCGAATAGAATAGAAGAGAAAGGGACAGAGCTTGAAACTAAGTTGAAGTCCAGTAAAGGCCTTGAACGACCGATATTTCAAGTTTCAAGTCGACAGTTAAGAGTATACCACTGCAGCAGTCCAGTCAAGTCTTACGTCGCTAGTTGCTTTAAGTCGATAAGCCAGAGTATACCACTACGGTAGAGTATAGTCAAAGCATACGGCGCTTTAAGTTTCACGAAGCCAACAAGCCAGAGTATACCACGACGATAGAGTCATAGTCAAGGCTTAGAGCACTTGAGGTTTCAAATTGACAAGTCATAGTATACCACGACAACAGAGTCTTATCAAAGTATCCGATGAAACAATCAATCTCAAATATTATAAAAAATATATTTTCATCAATCTATAAATATTTCGTAGACCTAAAATTTTTGCCTGAATTTTATCCATTCTTATCACCAATAGGCGTGACATTCTGAGTTTAAGGTTCCCATTTATCTTACGACCTTTAAAGGAAATGACAATTGGCCCGAGCTTAGCCAAGACTTGGCGCAATGCTCATTAACTCTGGGGTGAGCTTGTAATGCAAATCTCCATTTATCTTGCTCTTCGATAGACAGCTATTTTGAGTTATCCTTTAAAATGAGACCTCTAGTGTAACCGTTCTACTTTTAGTATTTTATGTCTAGGGCTCCCGTACACGTTGAGAACAACTGCTAGGTTCTCCTTCTACGACGTACTAGGTCAGAAATCTACTTGCGTTCAACTCTCAGTCACTTGGTCTAGATTGAAAATTAATTTCTTTAAAAATAGCTAAATATTCCACAATAAATTTTTAGGTTTTCAGATCTTCACGCGAAGTTTGTGGCATAATTAGTTTCCGAGAAATCGGTCTTCAAACCAAAATTAGTTTTTTGGCAATGAAAAATCGAATTTTTGAGGTAAACAATTTATCAAAAGCTTCAAAGGATTCTTTTAATGTCAAAAATTTATTAAAAAAAATGAAAATTCAAGAAAAGAATATTGTTGAATTCAAAACATCGGTAACTAGGACTGACAGCTATTAAGAGGACCAGTGATTAGATCTCGCAGACATTGAGAATTTTTTTATCAGATTATCAATTTCCCAATTATATGTCTTGTCGAAAGATCGATGAGACTTTATTAAAAATGAAGAAAAAAATTATTTTTGTATCGAATTTTTTGGGAAAAAAAATGGCTATAAATATTTACATGTAAAAATTTTTTTTCGGGTCTATTGATATTGAATATTCAATAAAGTACTTACAAATATAAATATTGATCCCAACAATATAGATCAATCAAAAGTACGAAACCAGGAATACGGATAGAAAGAATAAAGGGAGAGGAAAAAGTCGGAGCTCGCGAGCCAATAGAAGAGACTGGAAGTAGGGCTAACATCAAAAACTAACATTTTCCCACTTGAGTAAAAAAAAAAATTGTCGGTTTTTTGCGCTATCCTGATGAACATGATAAAGATTTAAATTGATTATTGAATTTTCTTTTATTCAATGAATAAAGTTATTAATATTAATTAATATTATATTGTCACACGAATTTTATTCCTGTGTGCGTCCTTCCCTGCGCCTAGTGTTGGCAACAGATCCACACTCGGTGTCCCATAATTTTAATATTTTTATGTGAATTTATATATTGCATATTCTTTATTATTATTATATTTGAAAGGTTGTATATTATGATTATTAGTAATTTAAGAATTAATTTTACATTTGTTTCAGATATTTTTAATGAATTATTTGTAATTCATTATTATCATTATTATTATTGTATGTATCGCCGTAAATCATAGTTATAGTACCTGGTTATTATCGTAGCCTTTACTCGCACGGGTGAAATCCTATAATATCGATCGCGAGCAAAGGGTCTATTAAATTTGGAAAAATGGCTAAAGAGGCCCTCGTGGTCGAACACGAGGCCTCGTACGATTTACGGTAACAAAAATTAACCAGACACGCGGGAGCCCGCTTAGTGTATGGAAGACACGCGGTAGCCTGCAGAGTGTAAGAGTGTGGATCTGGCACCTTTGTTCGAGTTCCCTTTTTTTGGTGAGTACTCACAAGTTGAGCCATTTTATTAACCACGCACCGTAACTGGTCTACCTCAATCGTAGCCTCCCTCTGAGCTATGAACATCTGGGACCTGACATTTTCGGCGACTTTTCTTCTTCTTTCTTGTTGAGCAGCTTCCTTCATTTTTCCAATCTTTTTCTTCTTCTGCTCATCAGCGTCTGCCAAGTCAAGGAGCTTCATAATTTCTAAGACAGAAGTTTTATTCGGCTCAATGACTTTTGGCTGGTGAGCCATCCTTCTCTTCTTCGTTGGCGGAGCATAATCTCCAATGTCTGAATGAAGACTATGTTCCGCTATCTTCCTTTTCTCTTCTTCGCTTGGCACCGTCCGATCCTTTACGGCAGAAACTTGGAGTTGGGGTCCCTTGATGACTCTCCTGAATAGTGCAGTGATAGCCTTCTTCTTCATAGGTGACTTTGAGTCCAAGATTTTCTCGTTTGAAAGTTTTGCTTTCGTCGAACACATCTTGACTTTATTTCTTATTTATTATCAGCGCACTGAACGATCTAACCACTTCACCTAGCTCGCAATAATTAAACTATGTAACTACACTAATTGAAGGTATTTAAATTTTCTTATGACTGCAGTAAGTGGAGGGGATTGAATGGCTGCAAGTCATTGGTCCCAAAAATATAGACGCTTGCTAGTAGGAAAGAGACAAAGAGTGGGGTATTGAAGCAGAAGCCTAATAGGCCGGATAGAATAGAAGGGAAAGGGACGAAGCTCGAAGCTAAGTTGCACAGTTGTAGTCCATTCAAGGCCTTCAACGACCGATATTTTAAGTATCAAGTCAACCGCCAAGAGCATACCACTGCAGCAATTCAGTCAAGTTTTATGTCGCTAGAGATTTCTAGTCAACAAGCTCAAGAATATCGCTGCGTTAGAGTCTAGTTAAGGGGGAACATTACTGTGTTGAAAAATTTCGATTTTACAGATTTTTTTAGCCGGTTTAAAACAAAAAAAAAACAGTAAAAATTATGAGAAAATTTTTAATCCGTCGACATTTTTCTGAAAATTAAAATTTTTTTCCGACTGTCACAGTAGTGTTTTTCTTTCAGGCTTATATTACGTCGCTAGAGGTTTCATCAAGTCGACAAGCCGAAGTATTATATACCACTACCGCAAAGTATAGTCAAAGCATTCACCGCTCGACGTTTCACGACGTCAACAAGCAAATATTAGATTATTTATTGGTTTATTTATTATATGTAAATCAAATTTATTTCTGCCTTAAACTTAATAATAGAATTTAAAAAAATCAAACGCGTACCGTTGCGAAAACATTTATTTAACAAAATATTTAACGATACATTTATAATGACAACCTTACATACATGCACTGTACATATTCACCTCATCTCAGTTCATAAAAAAAAATAAACAAAGAATCGCACATATTTTATAGAAGAAATGATTACCATCCATAACTAGGATGATAATCAAAAATCGTAATTTAAGTACTTGATATGGCTATATGATTATACTCCCATTTTTATACAATAAAAAATAATAATTATAGAAGTGTATTAACATATTTAATCGATTATTCTATAAAAATATGTACATTGCATTAAATTAAACATCAAGCTAATACAAGTATTTAGTTTAATTTATTCACAATACATGAAAGATGTATTAGTTATTTATCAACATTTAAGTAGTCGCATGGGGATCTTATAATCAAACAGTATCAATTCATTTTAGGGATTATCATCATGTTCTATCCAACAATTTTCTGATTTTTGCGTAAGCCCTTTTAGTTGTTTAGTGATTCATTAGAAAATTTAGTTTCATTTTTTGTTTAAATTCGTATAGATAAAAATTTCTGTAATTTTGTGAAATGATATTTTTCCGAAACTACATTAATTTTTATATAAATTTATATATAAACAAAAATGATGGAAAATATTCCATAACTCCTAAAAATGAGTTTATAATATTTCTTACTAGTCGATAAACGGCTATTAGATGTATCCTTCAAAATCAGACGAGTGAATAAAAAAATTATATTTTTCAGTTATTTGGTTTGATAACAAATGATAAAAGTCTTAAACATTATTTTGATATTGAGAAACAATCTATATTAAGGAGATTCGAGCAAATCTAGTATGAAAAATAATTTCCAACTTTGAGCTTTGAAATTAAATATACGTATAAATAAATACGTCATTTATCTAATCCCAAAATTTTAAAAAGATTCACCGTTTAGTTGCTTAGATATTAAATTTCAAATATCACATTTTTTATTTCCTTATACACAGGCTCTTACGGAGCACAAAAATCCGGCAAGTAATAAATACGAAAGTCATTTTATTACTTTATTTTATTAAATAAGTAAAAATCATAAATTAATCAATTGTTTTAAATTAAGATAAAGAATTTTGACGAATATTGGAAAGACTGAAAGTAAAAAAAAATTTAATTATTATTTTGACTCATTAGTTACGCTCGAACCTCCTTAAAGAGAAAAAAAAATTTTTAACTATTCAAAATGATTTGAACTGATTACTATATAGATTAAGGGTGGCCCAAAAAAATCGACTATTTTTTGTTTTGAGTCGCCAGTGAAAAAATGTTAGTTTTTGATGTTTTAAGAGCCCTCTCCAAAGGACAGCTTAAAAAAAAAATTTTAAGAGGTCGCTCCAAATTTTTTTAAATTTCAAAAATCGATTTTTTTTTTTCAGTTCAAAATTTAAATTTTCAAAGGTCGCTCATAATTTTTTTTTTCAAAAACTAACATTTATTCACTCAAAAAAAAAAAATAGTCGATTTTTTGGGCTACTCTAATATAGATATACACTTGCCATGAATTGAATCATTCCAAATTGTTTTTCTCAGGAAAGTAATTACACCAGATGACTTATCACATATCAAATGTCCAATAAAACATAAGGCTCTAAATTTAAATATTAAAAAGCAAGCCTTCTCGTATAACCATTTGCATAAATTTTTCACAGAGAAGCCTAGTACTTTGTTAACCATGGCTACTCTAATAACCTAGCCTTAAATAACCGGCTGATGCCAAACAATCTTTCCACTGAGGCACCCAGAGACCAACAAACAATGTTTCGGGGAGAATTTTGTACTAAGAACAATGTCTGTATGACTAAGAGTAGTAGCTAATTCACACAATTTCCTCGGTTTATCAGGTTCCGGAACACAGGACGACAGTTCCTGACATTCCTTAGAGAACCCGAGTAATCTAACGCCATAACCAAACGGCGAACAAATCAACCGTCCGTCTGCTGAAAAGCACAGTTCTTTGATGTATCCTAACCCAAGATTGGGTTCTTGGATGTAATTTATCAGCCGAGGAACATTCTGATGGATCTTGTGATTCCGGGGAATAGCATACGCAGCCTGGGTTCCTGATAGCGTAGAGTTGTTCGCAGAACTTCTTTCACCGACAATAAAAACAGTGTGAGGACGATCATCTCTTATTTGGCGCCTCATCACGAAACCTCGTGGATTACCAGATTGGTTAAGGTTATTGATGATCTGTTCCCGTTCCCGTTCTCGCCTTGTTCTGTTCTCCCGAACTGCGACCAGTGCTTCCCAAACATCAGTGGAACTGACATGCAGTTCCATGTTAGCAGCTGAGAAGTTTCCATTATTATAAACATGGTGGTGATTCCGGCGATCTTGTGGTTGAGGTTGCGGTAAGTTCCCTGGAACTCTGGGATCATTGTTCGCGTTCAGATTGTTCAAGTTCGATCTTATTGCAACAACTTCAAAGTTACTGGGAATGCGGTTGTCTGGTCGCAGCTCTGATAGCCTAGAATTTGGATTGTCTATCACGAATGAGTACCTTATTGATGATTGATCATCGTTTGCTCGAACATCAGAGCTTTGTTCCGTGGAACCACTGGAACCGCTAGTGTTAAGATTGTAGAGGCCGCTCAACCCAGCACTGGACGATTCCTTGTCCTGCTTTTCATCATCAGCGACAACTTGGTAGTCTTGAATGTCATGAACACAGGTGAACTCGGATTTCTCTTCATTTCCGACATTTCGTGACAACACGCACCAGCCTTGAGGGTGAACTTGAAGACTTGAGATAAATTCAGCGTCGTTCCCTTGCGGAAAATCTGTTATGAACTCAACGCGGTTATGGACGCGTGATGTCGAGAAAAGATGAGTGAAACTGGCAGCTGCCGGTAACGTCGTTTGAGACAGTTGCATCAGCCGGTAAACGTTTGGCTTAAAACCGTCGAGATCTTGGGCTAGCGTGCTTAAGCGTAAGTTGTGGATTATTATTAAGTAGCCTGAAGTGGTGCTGACTAGAATTTTCTTTGCGTCAGGTGTCAACCGGGTTCGCATCAATCCGTTTGTATGGAACACTTGAGTATATAGAAGACTATTCTCTGTGGCACTGTTTATGTCCCAGGAGTAGATGCTGCCGTCGAAACCGCTGGTGAGCAGAAGCTGGTCGTGCGGACTGTATTCTATGCTTTTCACCCATTTTGTGTGGCCCTCCAGGGAACGGATTTTGTGCTTGAGGTTTCGCGCGTCCCAAAGAGCCACGGAGTTGTCGTCGGAACAGGTTGCGAACATTCGGTGGTCGAGGAACCGAACGCAGTTCACGCAGTCGGTGTGAGCGTTGTCCAAAGCTTTTATTAGACGGCGGCCCAGTGGGTCGAACATCAAGATACTTTTCTTTTCACAAGCTGCCACCAGGAGGGAACTGGAATAAAAAAAAAAAAGAAATAAAGTAAGGATGAGTTTATTTAATAGATATAAAATTCTGTCGTGCTAAGCACAAAAGTGGTACCTAACATTTTTAGAAATGAGTTTCAAGAATTAGATTGTAAAATTTGAAGATTTTTACATTATATCTAAGCCAAGTAGTAAAGATTTAACTAAAAATTTCTACATAAATAGCCGGAACCAGTGTTATACAGAAAAGAAATTTCATGACTGGAGAACAAAATTCTTGGATCAAAAAAATTTTCGGGTGCCTGAAGGAAGACCGAAGTTGTGTTGGTCGAAGTAAAAAATTGTCTTTAAATTCTATTATTGGTGGAAGTAATTTTTTCTTAATTCAAATTATCATAAATACTTGATACAATAAATTTTTTAATTTGATCAAGATTTTTAGATACTTTAGGGAAGCAGTGTCACCTACTTCAGCTGAGAAAAAAATTTTCTCACTTTGAAAAAATTTTTCTCTTAAATATTTGATACCCATTTTATATTATTTTAGCGTGCAATTATACATATTGAATGAAAAAAAATTATTCAATATTATTTGATCTTCCTTTTGACATGTTAATCAATAAAAATATTAAGGAGGTCCTTTCGCCGCCAATGTAAAATAAAAAATATTAGATTATGAGTAAATTCAATTTTTTTCTAATAGTTAAGGTCCTTATTTATCTAATAGTGAGGTTTAAATTATACTTTACCGGACAAATTTTTGAAAAAATAAAATTTTTAAATGTTAGTATTTGTTCAGAGTCTTACGAGAAAGTCAAACATTTGCAGTATTTCTCGAATTATATACTATCAGTTATGGATTAGATGAAGTAAAAAAAA